TTTATTACCCAAAATAAATTTCAAGCCCTGTTTATTCATTCATTCATTCATTCATTGACGATGACATTTTTTCCCCATTTTTCCATCCCCCTCAGCCTGTGCCAAGCAATGTACCTATGTATTCAGAAAATCCTCAGGTAATTGAGTATAGTGAGGCAACGGAGGGAGAGGGAGAGCCCACCGACCAGGCCACCACTCCCACATCTGCCGGGGACGACGCCTGGGACCTGCTGGACCTGTTGGACCAGCCGGGCCCCTCGCGGGGCTGACGTCGTCCAGGATTAGGCATGTAGGAATGAAGTTAAGGAGATGGGACGGAAAGTGCACGTGATAGTCCATTTATCGACCCCTATGTTTGTTTGTACACTTTCCATTGTGGTCCTAAACGCCAAGATCATAGTTACATTATAGCAATATGACAAAGTTGCTGACAAAACAAATTAAACTTACTTTGTCTTATACAATAACTTAGTTTTTTATATGCCAAGAATTATGCTTGAAACCATGTCTGTGATTAGCCTGGGTGCCAACCCCAGTAGTATTCGCCCGCTAGCTTACAACTGGGTTTGGACGCATATGAAACGTCTGGTGATGACGTCACGTAATGAGCTCGCTCGAAGTCGAGCTTGTGCCAACTCCCCCAGCATGTTTATCTCTCCCTATTTGGCCAATTTGTTGGAAGAAAACTTCAAGTTTTATCTCTAAACATGTAACTACAAACACAAATGAACTTTCATGATTCTTTTGGTATTTGGTAGCCAGTTCATTACAATCATCATCCAAACTTGAAAGTAAGGCCTGTTAAATTTAAGTACTTTAGTCATGGTCCTCGTTATTCTGGTGCTCTTATGGCACGCCTTCGCATTGGCACCTGCAGCCTGAATTACAGTCTCTTTACTCGTGGATTATTGAACAGCCCAGCTTGTACCTGCGGATGCCAATGCGAAACCGTCCCACATTACCTACTCCACTGCCCCATGTACAACTCCCAACGATCTACCCTGGCAAACTATCCAGGCTTATAGGACACACCCTAGATTTTACAACTCTTTCTGACAACGCTAAAACTGACCTTTTACTCCGTGGTAGTCCCGTATTCTCATCAGTTGTTAACTCCAATATATTATTACATACCCAAAACTTTATCACCACATCAGAACGTTTTTAAAAGACTTCAATTTCCCCCTTTGTTATCCATGTACTGTGTCCTCTTTGCCATCATTTATCATTGGGTGGGGATCCGGACTTGCGCTTTTGAATTTCCTGTATATACTGTTTTTGCCTGTCCTAAAAGTTGCGTTTTTTTTTCTTTATTATATGTATTTATTTCAGTGGTGCCGTCAACATAAGTGCTTTCCACTTGAGTGCGGCACCACCATGTCCTGTACCTTTTTCTATGTGAAGGAATAAAAAAAAACTTGAAAGTATTACTGTACACACTTTGAATTCCTTTTCTGTTCTGATGGCAGGAACTCAGAGACCCTGTTTCATTTATTCATTCAAAGCCCTGTTTATTCATTCATTCATTCATTGACGATGACATTTTTCCCCATTTTTCCATTCCCCTCAGCCTGTTGCTACTTCCGATGGTCAGACCTCTGTCATTCCGGAAAATGCTCAGGTAATTGAGTATAGTACTAGACTAAGTCCTTGTTGCAAGCAGAAAACATTGTTAAGTGCTTAGTGACATACCTGCTCAGTTACAATTTCAACTGCGCTAACCTGACTTTACTTTTGGGTTACAATGAATAATGGACTGTGAGAACCTTAAGGTTTGTTAACCTTAGACTTTAAATCTGTAAGGTTATATTACCTATTAGGGAAGCATTCACAAGGAAGCTGGTTCTATAATGAGGTACGTATAGTTCTAGGAGAGAAGTTTTCAGCATCGAACTTCCTCCTTGAAAGTAAGAGATCGGGAGTATGGAAGAAGAAAGTAGTGCCTCTGTAGAAGTGGCAAAATGGAAGGACACAAACTGAGACCAGATGGATAGCAATTTTAAAGTTTTTGTACTGACTCCATTTTCCTTGCTGCTCCCTTATGGAGACATGGCTGCCCAGACAGACACAGGGATACTGACGGGAGGGGTATCTGACAGGGAGATGCTGGAGCAGCGAATACAGCTGCAGACGGAGCTGCAGGTGTGCCGGGGACGACGCCGGGCCCTCGCGGGCTGACGTCGTCAAGTAATAAATTGAAGGAGATGGGAGGCATAGTTTGTGGTTTGTACATTTTCCATTGTGGTCCTAAACTTCAAGATCATAGTTACATTATTGCAAAATTACAAAGTTGCTGAAAAAACAAATTAATTTGACAGACTTTGTCTTATACAACGTCGTCAAGGAATAGGAATGTAGGAATGGAATGAAATGAAATGAAACGGGCGAAACGCGTTCGAATCGTTTTATGG